GGGATGCCACTGCAGGCTGGGGCTGGGGCTGTACCAGGCTCTTCCCAGCACGTGGTGACTGTTTGGGACTGCGGGGCTGTGCTCAGGGCTGCACTCCCAGTGTGTGGAGGCTGTGCTGGAAGCTGCACTCGGGGTGGGTGATGGCGGCACTGGGAGGGGGGGCTATGGCAAAATTTGGGGTGGCTGCAGCCCCCCCTGTTGTCCCCCTCCCAGCGCTGCTGCTGCTGCCCACCCCAAGCACAGCCCTTCTCCTCCCCACCCCGCCATCCCTCCTGCCCGTATCAGTGAGTTTCACCTCACTGATGTGGGCACGTAGCTCTACTTATTGTTAGGAATGCTGGCTGCTCAGCTGAAAGTAAAATCACAGCAAACACTGACTGTCCCATGTCAATACAGTGAGCTGTTAGGGACGTCAAAGAGGGTCCTGTTGAGAAGCCACCTATATTGGCAGTCTCGGGTTTAAAGAGGCTTGTAGAAGACAGGATAGATTTGCACCTTCAGAGGTAGGCAAAATGGTGGATCCAGCCAGTGACCAGACTCCATTTCCCAGCAGCCCCTGCCTGTGTCACTGCAGCCAGTTCCCATTTCTTTGCTAGGCCATTTTTAAATATCAGAATCCCAAACCAAGAGCATACAGATGATTCAGTGTGCAGATGACATTGAATGTACATCTACGTTGTGCCCCCCTCAGTCAAAAATATTATGCTATAGCAGAATTGTGATGTTGTCCTCAGGAACCAAAGCTTTCTCCTTGCAGAAGAAAATTCCATGCTATGCTTTGGCCAGAGGAAGGTGGCTGTAGTTCATAAATATTGGGAAAACGTCACACATCAGCATAAAAGTCCCTAAGAAACGTGTGATGGGTCCTAGCAGAGAATATGATTGCACAGGCAAATCACTTATGAGAGTGAAAGGAGCCTAAGGATTTTTTCTGTTACAGAGATGATAATCCTGTTTTATGGAGTGACTGGAAAGAATGGCAGAATCCTATGCAAGAGTCTTCATATATTTGACACTGCTGACAAGAAGGTGGAGATCAGCTAAAATATGGTCCCCCAAATCAAAGCAATTTCAAGATAAACTTATTATATTGACCAATAATTAGACCCTCTTTATACAACATCCAAGCAATCGAAGTTTTAAATGCAATGGCTGATGGAATGATAGAAAGGTGGAGGGGAAAGAAACAAATGACCTTTGCTTAACATATTTAAGAATTGATATCTGAAAAGGGTACATTAGAAAAAATACTGACCAAACTAGGAGTGTACCTCAGTAAAGATGTATTTGGATTTTGATTGCAGTATTGCAACACGGTGATATATTTCCACCCCCCAGTCAAGCCTTCCAGGTTTTCAAAGGTCATGTAAATATATAGATTTGGTGATCAAGAAGTCCAGGAAGTATTTTGTTCCTATTTTTTAGTACAGTTGTGAAAATTAGAATTTTAATCAGTAACTCAACTGTAAGAGCATAACTTCTCTGAAACTTCATTATGGATCTCTGATAGAGTTGGTCCATAAGATGCATCTCTACCCTGCCTCCTGCCTGACTTCAGACTAACAAGGCGAATCTCTTTCTAATCTTATTAACTGTACATGTAATAATACAAATTCTTGATTCCCTGCACTTACTGACATTTGGCAGATAATTAGGACAACATTCCTCTTTTTGCATATTTTTAGGTACTTTGATGGGGGATACAGGTAGCATGTGTTTAGAAATGCAAATATTCTTCATTCTCTGAAGCTGCAAAATGTGTTACCTCGTTCATTATCTTCAAGTTGCATTATGTGAATTGGTGGTAGTACTGGATCGCAATGCATTGCAGCTGACTTCAATATGGTTATTGGCTACAAATACATAATGAAGTGGAGTTTTATGGGTGGCATTGATGAAAATAAATCAAACTCTCTGCAAAAACACTGTTGGCTGAGAACTTTCAATGCCCCATAGCCTAAAGCTGTAATCAGTCTGGTAGAATATACTACCAAGCTCCTAATGCAGTGGATGCCAAACTTTTTGGCAGGCATGCCACAAATTAGCCCCACACCCTCTGAATACTGCTCTAATCCAAATTGCCACTCAGTTTTCTGTTTCCTGTGCAGTGCTTCCTGACCAAATTGCTGCTCCATTTTTTGCGTTCTGTCCTGTACTCCTTGCCCAGTCTGCTGCTCTGTTTTCTGTTCCTATCCTATCTGCCACTGTGCTGCCAGTCCCCTCCACAATCTGACACAGGTTTGCCACCCCTGGTCTAATGAATAAATCTAGTCCAGAAATTTTCAAATTTTTGCCACCATGGGCTGCACCCCAGCACCTCCCCAGCAATCAACAGGTGCTGCAAAGGGAATAGATAGGGAAAAAAAAACCAGATTCATGGATGCTAAGGATGCTGCCTCAGCTGCAGCAGAGAAAAGAAATTGAATGCGTCAGGCAGTAAGACCTTGAGACTGCCTTTTCTGTTTTCATGACTGAAGCGTCCTCCTGATCCCCTGAGCTGCTGTGGGCTGGATCCATATGTTGCCAGCCCCTGGTCTAATCATACACCTAAATAACAGTAACGCTTCCTCTAGCTTTACAGTTTCACTGTCCAGATCCAGCCTATGGCCCATGGTTATTTTGACACCTCTGATGTAATCCATACTTATTTTGTTTCCCCAGTCAGTGTCTGTCTGTAACTCCCTCACCTTAAGTACATGTAGGCGAAGCTACTTCTACTTAGCAAACAGTGCACATCATTTTAAACCTGAAGGAGGTGACTATAAGCCAACAGCATGCTCTTGTCACAAATAAATTGAACAGCCTACTGGGTTGTATAGATGGGAATGGCACTTGCAAATTGTGAAGAGGTGATTCTGCCACTCCTGGGCACTGGTGAGGCCTCACTTGAACTACTGTATCCATTTTTGGGCCCCACACTTCCTGAAAGATGTGGACAGATTGGAAACAATCAAGCGGGGAGAGACGAGAATTATTAAAGGGCAGCATGATTTACAAGGAAAGGCTGAAGGAACTAGGGTTATATTTTAGTTTGGAGAAGGCTGAGAGGGGATTTAATAACAGTTTTCAGATACCTGAAAGGTAGTTATATGGGGGATGGAAATTAGTTTTAGTGTGTTATTCTCTGTGGCTGTAGGGGACACAACTAGAAGCAATGGTCTCAGGCAGCAGCAGAGGAAATTTGGGTTGCAGATCAGGAAGAACTTTCTGACTGAGGTTGGTTGATCATTAGAACAGGCTACCTAGAGAAGTTGTGGAAATTTCCAAGAGCAGGTTAGACAGACACTAGTCAGGGGTGATCCTGTGTTGAGTACAGGGTTTGACTAGTTGACTTCATGAGGTCCCTTCCAGCCCTTACTTTCCTATGATTCTATGATCTTCATTGGTTATGTAATATGTAGTTAAGCAGTTGTATATTTAAATTTTCAACTAAAGGTATCTATGCTTGAAATGTTTTGGACCTAAAGCCTTTACTAGAAAGGGTAATATTCGCAAGAGAAATTGGATGTTTTTACCACTATTCTCAAATCCTGCACTGAATGTTTTTTTCTTCATCATTACTAATCTGGAGCACCTTATCTGAATTTTGAGGGACACTGTATTTTTGCATATTGGCTAACTACTTGCATCATGACTTCTTGTAGTATTTCAATGCTTTGTTATGATGCTACTGAATTTTATATAACAAGAATGGGGCTCTCTAATGTTTTATTGACCTTGGACAGAGCTGTAGATTTCTGAGAGAGTCTCTTAGAATGACATCTCTTCTGTCGCCTGGTTTGTGGAAGAAGGGAAGAAAACAGCTTTCCTTTATAAAGG